TGTCATTGTCTCCGATTACGCCTAGATGGGACCGGCTTGTTTCGGAGAAACAAGCTCAGGGCTCCCACTATTTCAACATAATGGTGAGTTTTATTTTATGCTGTTTGTACATTTTATTTGATCATATTTACTCCCCCCACACTTTAAAGGCCGATCCGTGAAAATATTGTCTGACATATAACCGGCCCGTGGCGCAAAAAAGGTTGGGGACCGCTGACCTAAAGAATAACCATGAAAAATGTGCAAGGTAAAGCAAGTTTAGAAAGAGCGGGAGAAGGTTGCAAAAAAAAGCAGAAGATAACAGAGTAATTCGTTTTAAATGTGGAGGCTACTGTAGCGCTACCTCCGCCTCATCTGTGGTCATCTGATGCATATATATTGCTGCTCTACTATTTATTTTTCTCATTTGTGACAGTTCTGTAAATATCACTGCAAAATAAAGATGAAAAAAGTAAGCAATTATATGGTTTTGTCATATTTATCAGATATGAACCAAAAACTTACTCAACTGCTGCATAGATCTGTTGTTATCATTATTGTGATATAAAATAGTCCATATTGTGATATATGATTTTTTTTCCATATCACCCAGGACTATAAGCCGTGTAAATGAGACATTGTTGAAGTTTGCCTGCTGTTCCAATAAAAAGTCATTTTCTGTTCTTAATTACAATTTTTTATTTCACTGTTTAAAATTGTCCAACATGATTGTTTACTGCAAGAAAAGCTGCATATTATTGAGCTTTTAGGTTTTTGGGTAAATGATCTTGATGAGCCAGAGCAAATCTCAGACCTCATCCAGTTGGAACAACGATATGAAAGCATTAGAGCACAGACTGCGATTCAGGCATTCTGATCCAACATGGATGTTTGACCTCAGAAATGAATAACTTGAAAAATGGTAAATTATTCTCATGAAAGGTCCTACTTCTTAAGGAAAGCATTTCTAGAAGACGTTTTATGACTTTATAAGCTTGTATAACAGCAAAGCGGAGCCAGATATTATTTCCCTTAAGTTCAGACATGTGTGAAGGGAGATTAATGAGTCCTTTAGCCTGAAGGATAAAACCCATTTTTTATTCATGGACAGAGAGGTTAAAGATAAGCCATATAAAAAGCAGTCACTTGAAACTATGTGAGCAGGAAATGCTTCAGTGAAACACTTTCCTCAATGTGGGTCAATGACAAAACTCTCTGTGCTTCATGCTGGACCAGCTGTCAACACAGAGACTACATGCATCCCAACAATACGTCCACGGGTCCAAGTTGAGGTCATTCCTCACCATCTAAAGTGCTTCTGCGGCCGTCTGCTCCAATCACCACATCAAAGTCGAACTCGGAGACCGGATGATTGGATGGCCGGAGTTCTGCTCGCCACCCAGGACCTAAAGAAACAGATCAAACATGGATGTTTCATTAAAATTAGATGAACTGGACATCAATAAGAAAAAAATAAAGCAAACTTGTCAGTTGTGTTCTCTGGATCATTTATATGTGAATTATTTTGGAAAACAGAGGAGTCTATCAATAGCTTTTTTTTCTCCCCACTGTGCAGGAACATATGTGTTCATTTCAACATACGTGACATGATGGAAGCATTCCTTTCATAGCAGAGATATGCTAGCACGTGTCATAGTGTCCCTGCTAGTCATGACCCTTTCAAACAGGTTTAACATTGTTTACACACACTTGCACCCCTACCCCCCCCTCCCCAAAACATTTAGAACTTAGGTGGAGACAAAACTAATGTCCTAAACTTAGTTATGAGGATTGAAGCTACTTAATATAAAAGTTTGAGTAAAAATGTGGATAATTCCTGCTTATTTCTGTTTATTTGTATAATGGGAGCATAGCTGCTTCTAGACAGGGGCCAGCGGGGCCAGTGCCCCTGTAGAACTGGTCCTAACCCCTTTTATTGCCCCTGTACTGTAGACATAATTGTCAAGAATTTTAGTTGCTGCACAGCTCATTAGACAATGGTTGGGTAAAAACCTTAGGAAATATGGATATTACTGTTAATTACATACACACCCAATGCTTACCACAAGCATGAATTCCTAACAGAATTAACCAACAAATCCCTAACAGCATAAACACATTAACTACACTAATCTAATTCCTATACACATTAGCACAGCTTTACTAAAATTACTGCACTTTTCTGCACTAATTCGTTTAAAGTGGCCCACTTTTCCATTCACCATAATACTGCACTATATCCAAAAAGAAAACCATACATATTTTACACAAAACCCAGAGCTTATTATGAACTAAACTAGTTTTATATGATGCTATGCGTTAGTACGGAGATTGGAACTGATTGGCCACTTGGACAAACGTAACTTTTTTAATTTATTTACAAGCTTACATTAAGAAGGATTAAAATATTAGGGTGTTGTTCTGTTAGCTTTAGCTGTATTGAGATGGGATCAGTTTTCCTCTCCTCAGTCAGGGTCTCCAGGGCCGTTAGTGGCTCTGTAATCTTTATGCTGTCATCACAGTTTCATCAGAGCGTAAGCTGGAAGCAAAACAAACTGACAACTGGAGGCAGCCGATACAAAGTAGTATTGTTGCACCGATATAGATACCAGTATTGGGCAGAGCCCCAATCCAGCATCGGTAAATACCAACAAATAGGGCACCCATACCATTTTGAGAGCCAAAAATGTATTCAACTATTGTCCCTCATTCCAGGTAGGCAATACAAAGTTCTACTGGATTCACTTTGTTTTAGTCTTTTTCCTGCTTCACAAAGGCAGGCAGCAGCTTGACATGAAGCCATGATGGCAATGGGCTCTATGCACAGCTCCACTACTTCCTGAATTTAAAGCAGCTCCTTTGTTTCCCGTCTTTCATGATTGGATGCACTGATTAATCCAGGTGTGTATGACCTAAGTAACTGGCCAGACACACCTGGATTAATCAGTTCGTCCAGTAATGAAAGACAGGAAACAAAGGAGCTGCTTTAAATTCAGGAAGTAGTGGAGCTGTGCATAGAGCCCATTATTTTACATCCAAGTAGTATGCAGTTCTTAATATATACACACACCGGCCAATATTGCACATCCAGGTATTGGGGCAAAAAAATGGCATTGGTGCAACACTACAAAGTAGTACGAATATGGACAATTTGATATTTTATCCCATATCTGCTGCCAATGCCAGAAAAAGAATATAAAGACAGCAGCTGAGGTTGAAAGGAAATGAAACAAGGGGACTAGCCCACACTTTATTTTCATGGCCTATGCACAGATGGGTAGAACTTAGATCTTTTGGAGTGCTGGGCCGCTCCTAAAGACCTTCTTTGACATGGTTTTGGCATCAGCTATTTTATATGAAACTGTCTGTTGGAGCAGTGGCTTATCTGTAGCTGAGAGAAAGCGGCTGGATCAGCTGATCAGTAAGGCCAGCTCTGTGATTGGATGCCCTCTGGACTCAGTGCAAGAGGTTGGAAACAAAAGGATCCTAACTAAATTAACATCTCTGTTGCATAATGTCTCCCAGCCCATGCATGAAGCTGTTGCAGAACTGGAGAGCTCCTTCAGTGACAGACTGCTGCACCTAAATGCACCAGGGAGCGTTATCACAGATCCTTCCTACCAGCCTCTATAACTACCATTGCTCCCAACAACCTCAATAAGTTGTTACATTCATGCTGATTTTTGCACAGATTCTACCTTAGTCAGTTAATTAACATGCTGCTGTCATTTTGCACATCTCTGATGTTGCTGCTTTTTTCAAATATCCATTACTGTAAAAATGTCCATAGCTGTATAATGGTTATTTATTCTCCAGGTGAACAGTTTTATATTGTTAAAACACTTTACAGTACAGTGTTTTATTGTTTATCTTTTAACTGTTCACTATTATGTTATTCTTATACATTTTTCTAAGGTTCACATTTGTGTGACAATTTTTTCTATAATCTTTTTGCTGCTGTGAACACCAGAATCTCCCCATTGTGGGCCAATAAACTGATTTATTTTTTTCTATTCTATCTTTGGATCTCCCTGTTTTCTAATTACCGGACATGCTTTGTTTTTTAATCAGCTAGCCGTAGCTGTCAGGCAGCTAAACCAGAGCTAATCCGCTCGGATCGTCTTTCCACCGATTACCTGTGTACAGGTCGACCAATCGGGTTCCATCCAGTAAAATTACATATTTTTAATAACTGTCCCATATACTGTATATAAGTAATTATTTTAATGTTTTCTTCTATTACTCTGTGCCCTCTATAAAATAAAACAAATTAAAAAAACTACCCTGCCCTCTGGTAAAACTGGTCTAGAACCAACACAGAGTGGGCAGATCCAACTTCTCTGACTCACCATCTTCATTTTGCTGCTCTGGAGGCTCCAGCAGTTGAACAAACTCCACGTTGACATGAATCTCCACTCCCAGGATGAGGCTGACTTTCAGCAGCATCAGCTGCAGCTGGCGAATACCTGGCGGGGTAGAAACAGCTCTGAGAGAAGGCCTCGTTTAGCTCCGTAACAATCACCAGCCTCAATGTGTTTCATTTATAGTGATTGGCTCACACAAAGAAGTGCAAAATTCTTACGTGGAATAAAACCTAGTTTACATTTTATGAATACAATCTGCAAAATGTGGAGTGTATTTTTATTTAGCCATCTTAAAACTAATAGTTAACATTAACCCCAGTCCTAAAAAGAGCCTTCAGAAGTTTGCCGTTGTAATTAATTCAGCTGTTCTGTGAGGGTCTCACAGAGAACATTAAAGAAAAAACATCAAGTCAAAAACAAACGCAGCAGACAGGAGAAAGAGTTAATCAGAAACAGGGTCAGATTATATCTGAATGCAAATTTGAGCAGCCGTCATTAAAGTAGCAACTCTGAAGGAGTTAACTCGGAGGAACAGCTTAGGTGGAAGAGTCTGTTGATGACCAGCTGTTTGATGTGCAGGAAACACACATCTGACATTTATCTAACAGCGCAAGAAGGAATCCATTAATAAAAGAAGCTTTTATTTTAGGTCGATGTTCTGAGGAGGATCCTGCACAAAGCTTTCAGCCTGCATGCAGGTGCTGTGTGGTGGAAAACTGACACTGTACAATTCTCTTGGGGAAACACTGCGGTGGCAGCATCATGCTGTGGGGATACCTTTATTCAACAGAGACAGGAAAGCCTGTAAACCAAGGGTCCAGGCCAAGGTCCCCCAAACTGATGGCGAGATGGAGCGGGGACCCCCTAATTATATATATATTGTATGAAAGTGTTCTATCAAACTGGTCCTACAGTCACTCTATTAAAGATGGAGTCATGTAAAGTAATTTCTCTCTGGGATTATTAAAGTATTTCTGATTCTGATTCCTGGTTGATGGGACAGGTGTTGTGAATGAAACGGTGTCCAGCTTGAAAGAGCTCCTGTGTGTCTCTGAATGTGAGCATTGATGATGAAAGACATCTTCTGCTTTCATTTATCCATTTACTACAGTGTGTTAAATTCATGTTAATATGGATTTAAAGACATTTAATTAGTGGAAAAAAACTGCAAGGGGGAATATAAACAAAAAATTTTATCAACCAAAACTTCTGTGACCCCCATGCAGTACCACCGTGGGCCCCTAGGGGCATTTGTAGGATGGGTGGAGCTGAAAGCAGTGTTGTCCTCCTTTAGGACGGGAGCTCAAGCCTGCTGATTTAAACCCTTTCATCATAGCTGTGGCTCCTTCAAAAATAACTATTGTAGCTTAAAATCTGTTATAAAATATCCGACCTAGAAGGTAAGATAAAAGACAAAACAAACACCTAAGAGAACCGAGAGGGAAACTTGATTAAATGTGTCTGGAAGCACATTTCCTTTGTGATGTCAAACTCACACCAAGTAGAGCAGACTTTAGCAGCAAAGGTGAGCGGAACAAATCAAAGCATAGGAAAAAAAAAATTCCATTACTATATTGTTGATTACATATATCTCATGTGGAAACCTGTATTGATGGCCCTAAAGTACAAAAACAGCAGAGAGAACGCTCACTGATATGGTCGATGGCACCGGCGCAGAACTTCCCATAGAACTTCTTGGCCCCCAGCGCCCTGAGGTCGTGGATGGTGTAGGGCCAGAGGTGGAGCACGTTGTTTCTGGAGAAGGTGTCCCTCTTCTCGATCACCACCACTTTGCAGCCCAGCAGAGCCAACTCGATGGCCGTCCGCAGACCGCAGGGCCCGCTGCCGATGATCAGACACTGGAAGGAATGGAAGACGTGAAATCAGAGAGAATCTGCGAGGTAGAATGTTCTGTTGTCAGAAGAGGCTGTAGATATAAACACTTCCTATTTATATCCACAGGTTAAAATGCAGCCTTTGCTGCAGTTTTAACCTTACATTTTAAAATTTAAACCTTTGAATATCAACTGAAAAAGTGCACCAGAGCTGTACCTCACCAGTGTTCATAGTCATGCTTAGAAAATAAATAAATTTCCATGGATGTGCCAAAAACTTTTTTCAGCTGAATTAAAACAATAATAAAATAATATATTTTGGACCAAAATATTTAAAAGTTGGCACCCAGCTTCAGTCAGTCCAGCTAAAAAGCAGCATATCTGGGTGTAGTGATGGACTCAGACCTGAACCTTCAGAGGCTCATAAAGACAGGAACTAAGTCGACCTTCTATCACCTGAAGAACATCTCCAGGATTAAAGGACTAATGCTGAAAATCTTATTTCTGCTTCGTTCCTCTTTAATAGAACAGCTCTGCCTACAAAGTGCATCAGACAGGATGTAACTTTAAAAAGATTAGCAGTTATTTTAACTTTTGATCATGCTTATAGCAGTTTCACCCATGAAATTCACTTAATTTTATTTCATTACTTCTTACAGACTTGTTTATGCAAATTACACAACAAACTAAAACTGCCTTAAAATTCAATGACCCTCCAGAACTTAAAGGTTCCATATTATTCTACATTTGAAAATAAAATATTATGCACAATTATGTCCCCAGAGCATATTTTTGTCATTTCTCTCAGGTTGAGCAGACAGTATGTCTGCTCCTCCTTATCAGCACTCCTCTGGTAAACCTGTTTTAGCTTCCCGCACACTGTCCTCCCGAAGGCCGCGCCCCCCCCCCAAACACGCTACCATGACAACCAGTCAGAGGAGGAATAACACATATAATGAAGGCTGTAGCTTGACCAATGGGCTGCTACTGACCACTCTGGATACCTTTTTCCATTCTTATGACATCATAAGGGAATGATTTTCAAACAGAGTATTTTCAACACGTATTACCCAAAAGGTGGAGAAAAGCAATGAGGATAAACTTCATATACAGGCTGCAGGACACATTCAACTGTTACAAAATGCTTATAATGTGAATTCTGCATAACCTGGACCTCTTATTTAAAAATATGTATATTAAAATGGTAAAATATTCAAAGGAATTAGAGAAAACTGTTTTATTGTTTTAATTCCTATTTTGTGGTGTTTTCTGGATATATTTGAGTTCTTAGGTATTTCTTTTTTGCCATCAGTGTGAGGATAAACCTCTGGATTTGCATTTCAAACTGCTGGAAATCAAGAAATCTAGAATGTAAATCTGCAGGAACTTTGGCTGTAAAGAACAAATCTAAACTTGCAAAACAGATTGACAGAAAATGTTATCTCTTTCTCTAGTATCTCTTCCTATAATCTCTTTATATCTTCATTGGCTTCCTGTTAAATCCAGAATATAATTTAAAATCCTCCTTCTCACATATTACGCCTCATATGGCCAAGCTCCATCTTATATGAGAGATCTGATTGTTCCTTATGTTCCTAACAGAGCACTTCGCTCTCAATCTGCAGGTTTACTAGTGGTTCCTAGAATTTCTAAAAGTAGAATGGGAGGCAGATCTTTTAGTTATCAGGCTCCTCTCCTGTGGAACCAACTACCAGTTCTGCTGCTATAGGCTTAGACTGCTGGAGGACATAGGGACCCCTTTTTCATTATTCTATCTCTATTCTCCCACTCTTCAGAATCTGTTAGTTCAATCTCTAACTTTATGCTCTCTGCTTTTTCCTCATAGTAGCTTCGCCTCGTCTGTTCCTGTTTGACTGTGACACCATCCTGGAGTTTTTACAGTGTAGTCCTGTTTCTCTGACTGTGACTAACTGGATGTCCTCTCTTCATCCTCTGGCATGGAAGCTGGCTCGGAGCTCGTCTGCCTGGCTTTGTATTTCTGGGACAGGCAGCCTTTTACAGTTTTTTGTATCTCTGAAACTCCTTCTGTCTCCTTGAACCCCAGTGGGCCTCAGCAGATGGCCGCTCACACTGAGCCTCGTTCTGCTGGAGGTTTCCTCCTTTTAAAAGGGAGTTTTTCCTCTCCACTGTCACTACATGGATGCTTAGTGTGGGGGATAGCATTTAAGTCAATGACTTGATGCAATTAACTGGTTTTTCTTAGATAGAAAACTTTGAGTCAATCTGACTGTATGATCTGGTTGAATTATCTCTGTAAAGCGCCTTCAGATGACATGTGTTGTGAATTGGCGCTATATAAATAAACTGAATTGAATTATTATTTCACTCAGCAGAGTTAGTACACCTTTTCCTTAGTGCACAATGATTTAACCTTTTTCTAGTTAACAGTTTTAACTGTTAACTGTTTTTTCCCAAACAGCAATAAAGACATAACGAGTGTCACACTGTGTTTAATAAAGTGTAACAAAAAGACGCATTATGTTGAGAAAAAAAGGCTTATTTTGTGATTTCCAGTGAAAAATGAACATCTTATTTTCAGTCCTAAGAAAGTTTATTTTAGATTGCAAAGTTTCCGTTTTTTGTGAGGCATTATTGATGCACATGAAGCCTGCAGCACTTTAAACACCCAAATATGGAGACAACCATGTCGCAGGAAATAAAGAAAAAAAGCGGTTCCTTCGTTTGGGTTTAGGATTTTGTTACAGAGAACATCCGCCTTGCTGCGAGTCCACCATCTTCCTCCAGATAGCCATATCTCCATAAAAAATGTCTGGAATAATAGCTGAGCTGTTATTTTTGGCTGGCCCTCTCGGCCCAACCCTTTGCCTTAATCTGCGCTCTGCAAGATTCTGGGCTATCCCCCCCCCCCCCCCCCTCCTGTCGCCTCTTATCTTTTCCTTGAGATATGAAGTTTTTCCAACACAGTGCAGTAAGTGCTCACTAAAACGTACATACGTGGTCAGACAAGAATGCAGGACATGATTTACCCAGAGATTTTGTTCTTTTAGCCTTATTATAAGTTATTTATCAGAGTTAAATTTACTATATTTCATTGCTTGTTTTCTACCATAAACTTTTTTGTTGTTGTTGCAGTTCCTGTTGCTTGCAGCCAGTCTACCTGCATACACTGAGCCTGCAGAACCTGATGCCAAGCTGTTGATGCTGTTCATTCTTTGCGTCAGGTGTGTTTGATCAGGGAAACATCTAAAACTTGCAGGAAGCTGTGACCCAAGGGTAAAAAGAACCAGAAACACTGCTGAAATAAACTGGGTTTTTTTTTAACTTCTCTACTAATGAGTTATTTGAATATAGAAATCCGGATCAATGATGCTCTGAATTAATCAAAGGTTAAAAAAGCTTGAAGCTGGTGCTATCTGCCAGAGCTTCATATGCTTTGCTTTGGTTGTGGTACCCATTGGAAGGCATATTTTTACTCTTTGTTTTTGTCGGTTCTAGTTGCTTTTAAACAGGTGGTTCTGGTTTCTCTAATTCTTTTATGATTGTAGTTGCTCTGGTTCTGGTGGTTCTGGTTGCTCTAGTTTATCTGGTTGTTACTAGTTCTAGTTTTTTTGGGTCTTAATAGTTCTAGTTTATCTGGTTCTAACTGGCTCTGGTTGCTCGTGGCTCTGGTTGCTCTGGTTCTTACTAGTTCTAGTTTATCTGGTTCTTACTAGTTCAGGTTGCTTTGGTTCTTCCTAGTTCTGGTTGCTCTGGTTCTTACTAGTTCTAGTTTATCTGGTTCTTACTAGTTCAGGTTGCTTTGGTTCTTCCTAGTTCTGGTTGCTCTGGTTCTTACTAGTTCTAGTTTATCTGGTTCTTACTAGTTCAGG